TTTTGATGCCTTTGGCAATCTTTTAATCAGAAATGGTAAATGTTGTTTGGTTACTAAGTTCTGTTAATTAGGTTTCAGGCTCAATATTTTACAGTTGCCTTTTGGCTACCTAACATCCTGAAATGGTTGTCAGAAGTGAGGGTCCCCTATACCCCTTTGCAAAACTCGGTCATGTTAAAATGTTTGACCTTTTCAGGCTTCACAAACAACGTTCAAAACTCTTTCATGTTCCCACTAACTCTCTGATGTGATACAACTATATGCATGTTTATTATATGGCTGTGTCTCACAAGGACTGGGAACTACCAAATTCACAAATTTGATTGGCTGAAATCAATATTAAAAGCAGTCTAGATTTTCCCATCTGGACCAGCATCTAGACCGGTCTAGAAAAAAAAAGGTACAAAGAATATGAAAAATTGGCATATAAGACACAGCCATATAATAAACATCTTATTAACCGAGCTGGGTTACAGACACTGGAGACCTCCGTCAAGATTCTCCCATTCAGACCTCCTGCTCAGTTAATAAGAACTAAATATAACTAATAATCTCTTTGATAATGCCTTTAAGAAAGCACTTGGGACAGCAGAAACAAAAGAAATTTTTTGATCATTTCATTTAGTGGTAAACTCAGTGATACAGAAAAGACTGAAAAAAACAAAATTTCAGACAGGTCTTTTTTTCTAAATTTGCATTTTATCAAATATTCAGATTGTCAGCCATGATAACAAGAGGTGAATATTAGCACCAAAAAAAATATATATATCTGAACAGTTCAACATCAAATGAATCTGATATACCACAAAACAAACACATTTCACATTCAAATTAACATGCAGTGTAAGGGTGGATTCAAAAAAAATATAAAATGCTACAGGAATAATCTCAAAGCTGTTTGACTGCATTTTCAAGTATTTGAAGCCTGACAAAAGGAAAATTAACATATCCCTTGAAAAATTCCCCAAAGATTTATATCCTCATTCAAAATGAAAAATACATTGTCACATTTCAGATTTCTGATTGGTAACAAAAATCAATGCTGCTAAACATGTCTATTGTACATTTACTTTCTTTGTCTGTTGCATATATTAATCCTGGCCAAGAGGTCACCGATAGAATGCTTTCTCCCTCACTTGAAGTATCATTGACTGGCGACTACAAGACAATCGAATTAAGTTTGCCCTGAGAAAGCAGTAATGCTCTCTCTTGAGAAATATGTAGCAATCGACGACAAATGTCGAACACCCTTTTGTTTTTCACTTAGAAGAGGGTGAATGACGTTTCACGATTAATGTTTGTGTTTTCACACGAAAAATAAATTATGCATGCTCAGGGGTTTGAATTTTGAACATCTGCTTGTGTACGTGTCAAAACTACTAGCTGAGAGGGATGTTAAAAAAAAAGTGAAGTGTGCTATATTGCTCTGATGGGTACGAAAACATCAACCTTCAATTTTGTCCACATTTTCTGCTTGATGAGGGTGTGTCTCACGAAGCCTCTTCAAGCTTAATTTAAAACGAGTTGAGAAATAGGGATTGTGGGATCTTCGACAAGCAACTCTATTTTCTAATTTTCCGAAAAGCTTCCTGTTTTGTATCGAAGAAAGCTAAACAATACGCGTCGCACGAACATCACTTTTCTCACTTTCAAATTCACAGCCACCCCAGCGTTGGCGTAAAAAGATAATGAAACATTATGTAAAAGTCCATTGACCATGCATGAAAAGGTCACTCCAACAACTGACAGAGACCAAACCCAATTTGGACGCTTACAATTCATTTTAGCAGCGCAGAGAACAAATTTTAAAACATTTTCTGTCTCCTTGAGTGGGTTTAATGGTTGCAAGATTTGCATAAAGTACACGTGCGTGTTGTTATGTAATCCTTTTCTCTGAATACCCGAACAAACTAAATTTGTATCACGCTGGAATAAATACAGGTAGATAAAATTATGAACATGGGAAACGGCCTTTTAAAATGTTTTATGAACGGATACTGCGAATAAAATTTTAATCCTGACTTATATCGCAAGAGAAATACAGAACTTAAAATATTATACATTTATGACTGTAGACATCGTCTGCACTCAAGCATAATTGGCGCGCGCCATCTGCTTGCTGTGGTCGGAAAGCGAAACCGAACATTTTACAAGTAACACAGGCTACTGCTTACCTTTTAGACTCGTAAATAATGTCTCGTACAGGTCATAGGTGTTTTCGAAGTATTCTTTGATCTCTCTACAAGACATAAAAAACGGCAATCAAACTCAATTTTTGCCGCGCACAAGATCGTGTTGCATAAATAAGGATAATCGATCGAAACGAAAACTTGAAAAAAGATTACCTCTTGGTACAAGACGAGAGATCGCATGGTTTTAAAGAATGGAGAACGTGTTTACCACTTGGCTGAAACACAACCATCTTTGACGAAATCGCCACTTGTTGAAAGGAGAGAAATCTCTTTGAAGTTCCTTTTAGCACGTTTGCTGTCAGGTTTTAAAATCTTCCGCTTTGGTGACGGCCTGGGAGTTCCTGTGGAGATTGTGCAACCTTTTGTTAGCCTAATCCAATCAGAACGATTCAACTGGAAAGATATTGGGAAAAAACTTCCATAAATCCTAAAAGCTGCTCTACATTACATAAAATCATTGCATTGTCTTCCCTACCAAAATTTATTGCTTAATTCAGCAAACACTCTCGTTTTCAGACGGACAGGAAGAATTTGACTAACTCTACGATTAGGTATTGAAATTGAAATCTGTTCCAGTTATTTCAGTTCGTTTATATAGGTATAATATCCGCCTCATTCTTTAGGCTTGTAGC